CTCGAGTTGTCCTCACTGGTCACGCTGACGCCTCCTGGGTTGACGACTTGGCTACGCAGCGGTCGTCACAGGGTTACACCTTCAGCCTTGGCTCCGGTTCTGTCTCCTGGCGGTCTACCCGCTCTTCTTCTGTTCTCAGCTCCAGTTGTGAGGCTGAGATCTACGCTGGAGCCATGGCTGCACAGGAGCTTCGGTGGCTCACCTACCTGCTGACCGACTTGGGAGAGGCGCCTCGTTCTCCTCTAGTTCTGTACGTCGACAACAAGGCCATGCTGGCCTTGTGTCAAGAGCACAGACTGGAGCACAGAACGAAGCACATTGCTCTGCGCTACTTCCTTGCTCGAGAGCTGCAGCAGCGTGGCCAGCTTCGTCTTACGTACGTGGCCTCTCAGGCCAACACTGCTGATGTTTTCACCAAGGCACTTCAGCCTTGTGATCATCAGCGTTTCTGTACTGTGTTAGGCCTTGTACCTACTGTGCCTCACTTGTTGACTTCTTGACTCTGCTTGTACTGTACTCTATATACATATACCTACATGCTTACACTTGCTAGGTTGTGTTCACTGTACTGTTTGCTTTCCTTTATATAACTATGCATGTGAACTGGCCTTATGGCCCTTTGCTTGTGCTCAGACTGTGTGGTGACTTTGTGATCCACCCTGAGCTTGCTTTGCTTTTCTTGACTGGTCTTGTGACCTCTTGCTCTCCCCCACTTTGCCTATGGGGGTGTGTCAAACTTATATCTGCTATGGTCTATTTAGGCTATAGTGGGGTAGCTCTTAGAGGGTACAACACTTATGTGTTTTCTATTTGTACCCATCTCATTTCTAGTTTATTCATTCTTTTGTCAATCCTTCTCACATTGCGTGCTTATGCGCACTTGTGATAATCTATTCTAGAAGAGCGCGTTCCCGAAGGTTCGGATTATCTGATGTTTCTATGTATTTCTGAGTATAAATACGCCTTGTACTCACCTTTAGTGCAACATTCTCGAGTGGAAATTCGATCCTGTGACAAACATGGCCTGGTTCAATCTGCCCCGCAACCGCGACCCTTGGTGGACACGGGGTGCCATTGCGACACACAAGTGGGAACCCTGTGTTCCCCCAACACAACAGGCTCTGAGAGAGAGGCGGAAAAGACTGGGTGAGGCCCTACAGGACTCTTACGCTAATCGTCGGCGCCGCGCACCCATATCTCCACATCCTCAGCACCGGGAGTGACGGTGTTGACGTCGCCAACATCGTCGCCATGCTGTGCGGCTTCGGAGGTGGTGCGGACTCCCCACGTGGCGGAGGAGGGCTGAAATCCGGCGGCGCACGGTGCATGTCCGGGGGCGCCGATTCAGTCATGCGCTCGCGGGCAAGTCGCATGTCCTGCGCCATCCATTCACGGACGAGGCTCTCAATGCGCGTCATCGCGTCACCGTGACAATCCTTGATGGTCGCGGAGACCAGCATGGCTGCTTGCATGGTAGCCGTCTCATGCACCCGTGCGCGCCTAGGTGTTGCGGTGGTCGGCGGCGGCGGAGCTGTGATAGAGGAGCGGGGAAAATAGTAGAATCGATTAGTCCGACTACCCTTGTTTGATGTAACCTGCATATTGGTGAATAAAATAAACGGATTCTTCGTATTCAAACTACGATAAGTCAAACGCATATCAAGCTAGAGGTGATAGAAGCACGACTCACCCGTAAAGGTTGGTGTTGACGTGCCTGGCTGAGACGAACTTGGAACCTCCATGCCGGCCGGCACGTTGACGTCCGTGGCGCCGCCGCCGTCCACCGCATGCGGTGCGGCTGCGGCGGTGTCCTGGTTGTGCAGCTCCAGGTACGGATACCACGGTGGTTTCTCAACCGAGCCGTGGCCTGACCCCCCGTCGCCACGCTTGTACTCCCGCCAGAGGAGCGTCAAGTTACGCCACTGCTTCTGCAACGCGTTGACACCCCTGCACCATCCAGGGTTCGACTCCTTGATGTGCGCGAGTAGTCGGACCCAGTATTGCGTCCCCTGCTTCCCCTTGAGAGACTCGAGCTCCTCTTTCATGAACCACTTCGCCGCGGCGAATATGGTGCTCTCCTTGTCCGACCATAAGCCCCTCTCGACTGGTGCAGCCGACCGCTTCTTCCGTGGCTCCTGGCGTGGCGGTGGTGGCGCCGCCTTGCCTTTGCCTTTGTTCGTCCCAGATGCGCGTGCGGCGCTCCGTTTCGGCGGCTGAGACACAGGTTGCGCTTCCTCCTCCGCGTCGTCCTCGACGTCCTCATCTTCGTCGTCGCCGTCGCTGGGCGACATCCCAGCGTCTTCCGGTTCCTCCTCGTCGTCGTCGGTGTCGAGGCCTTGTTCGGGGTCGTCATCATCGTTATCGTCAGCATCTTGCTCCACGACAAGCCGGTGTGTTGCAGTAGTCCTTGCAGGCTGACGGCGCACACGTGACGGGGCCGCACTGGGCGACTGTGCACTGGATCCCTGGCCGTCAAGCACGGGCGGCGCGGATAATCCCTTCGGATGGCGCCCGTTGGCGATCTGCTGGTTCATCCATGCTGGCGGATAGAGTGCTTCTAGATATAGATCTTTAGGGAGCGGGAGCAGAGAGAAATGAACAGATTGGAACAGGAAGGATGGTGCACGAAGATGAACCCGTAAGGTGTTGGGAGGTGGAGGAGTTGTAGGGAAGGAGCATTGGAACTGGGGGAAGGCGCGCTGGCGGGGACGTGCGCGTCCCTGTCAATAATTCCGGGTGTGTCGTCTGGACCAATCACTACGCAGTGTACGCGTTGATGGGGATAGTGAGTTTTGGGGAGATGTCGTCTAGATACATGCTGCATGTGTTGACATTTGGCACCGCGTGCGACTGATGGAATGTGTTGCAATTAGCTGGCGACTGCTCCGTGTTTCACGTCACCCAATGATAAATACATTTGGCGACAACCACGGGCGGCCCGGCATTCTGACACCTGGCAGCATATGCTGTACGTACGCGTCATATTCGATTCGGACACATCGATTGGGACATGGTCCACAGCGGAATGTACCCTTAGTAAATGTAGACTTGCTTGTGTAGATCGTAGAAAAATATGAGTCTGATAATCCATGACGCGAAAAATGACCGGTTAGGAATCCTGGGAATGCCTGACAGAAACCGAGGCTTTGCGCCTTATAACTGGAGTAACCAATGTCAGCAGAAATGACTGGTTGTCCACTGTTAAAGTTAAAGGCGAAGTTTGTTAAAGCAACGGAAGTTAAACATAGGCATGGTAACGAGGATGTGACCCGTGACACGCTCGGAGAAATCTATAGCCGCCCTATGGCGGAGAAGGTGCGGAGCGTTGTTCAACCTCTCCGTGAGTCGCTCAGCGAGAGCCTCCTCCTAACTTCTGATTTATTAAAATATCATATTTATGCTGAATTGCAGATAGTTTGGAGTCTCATTCCTCTAATGTAAAAATGTAACAATGTGGGAAAGTTTGCCCGAAATTGACTTCGGCGGTTTTCGTAAAGCTTTTTACGGCTGCTCGTTCCCATTTCGCCGTGCGCCCCTGACCCGCTCCGCATACACACGTGTATTTGAACAGGGGTGACAGACATACAGTCTCGCCAGCTTTCGCGAACCAAGTGTGATGTTTCCAAGTGACAAACAAACATCTGCTCTTAGTGTCTGCTCTAACTTTTCTGTGTGGTGTTTCAGGCATCCGTCAATCTACCAAGGAGCAGCTTTTCCTTTCTTCGAGACATCACCACCTCTCATGACCGTTAGAGTGCTTGAAGAGTCGTCTTGCTAATCCCTTCATAGCCTTGACCTTAGAACTCGAGAAGCGGCGCGCATGCACGAGGCACGTGCGAAGTAGGACTCTGATCACAGGTGAAGGGCGCTCTGGGAATAACAATCCTGTGATTTGACAATCGAAGGATGACGGGTCCACTTCCACTAGCAAAAATGGTCGGCACTGAGGTTTCGAAGCGCCCTTGTTTCTTCTCCAGCGGTATCATCTTACATGCACCTGGGTGATGAACTCTCTGGTGCATGTTAGTTCTCAGCCAATCAGGAGTTGCCGTGTCTCCAGAGCTCGCAACTGGAAATGGTATGTCGGTGCTTATACGTGACAGCTTGTCAGAACTATCATTTTTTCCCATCAACCGTTGTGCGGCCCCCATACTTCCATCTTCCCCAAGTGAATATTCTTGTACTAGATTGTTTACCGGTCTTCATTGGCCAGCTTCCTGCTTTTAGAGCCTGCGGGTCTAAGCTTCCTTCTGCCCTAAGGTTCACGGATCACACTAACATTTATTCCTGGTCACTCCTCGTACGTCATCAAGTGACGTGATGAACGCGAAGTTTCTGCGATGCGAGCCGACATGCTCGAGAATACCATTCGCCGCCGTCCTAGAAGGCCAGCCACTTCTCGCGCACGCTGTCACCGTCCGTCTCGTGTGCAAGATCTCAACTCTACAATCTGAAGATACTGCGTACCAGTTTCCTGTCACCGCAGGCATGAGCAACTGCGACGTACCAGCCAGAAGTCCGTGTCAATACACAGCGCCCATCTGGGGCAAGCTTCCCTCCTTCACGCGCAGCGTCACAGTGGGACGATCACACGACAAGACGCCAGAAACTGAGCTTCGTGTTTCTCCTTCCCAGAGTTATGGAAGCAGATGTAAAAGTTGGTTCTTTCATCGCAACAGTTCTCAAGCGAAGGCCTTCGTTTGAGCAGCAAACACGTTGAGCCCAGAACGTAGTTCGCTTGTGTTTGGAGTTAAGAGGACATGGGGAAGCCGTAACTGCCAGGAATCAAAGCTGGAGCCCCTTCATCTCCTCAGAGCAGCAACCGCGGCGCCGGAAATTTGAGGCGAATCGCCCACTGTGTGTAACCACCTACCTGGTTGAGGCGAATCTCGTTTAAAGCTGCTGTTTGCAGCACACTGCAACGCTCGCAACGCATCGCGTGCATCAGCTTCTCGTACGAACCCCAACATACGTCTCACTCCTTCACGAGAGTTCGCAGCATGGATCCCGCACGTCAGCACGCGGGTTCTGCACCCGCTGCTCTCCCCCCAGACGTCCCCACTGCCGCTCTAATTCCAGAGCCTTCTTCCCTTGCGTCTGCAGCAATCGGTTCTCAACCTGTGACCTCCGGCCTTGCTCTTCCACATGCTGTGACTGAGCTTTCCCTAACAGAAGCACGTCTGAAGTCGTCAGCTGGGCGTTTCTCCCTTCCAGGAGTCATTTCCTCCGCTGCTAAGGCTTTGTCATCGCCAGGACTTCAGGCTGCGGCAGAGAATGTATCCCCGTTACAAGCACGCTCGTCTATGGATGTATCCGCACCCCATGGTCCCCTGGAGTGTACTGCAAGGAGTAACCTGGCTCGTAGCTTAAGCAGCAGCAATAGCAGGAGAGCGCGTGAGAGGCCTCAGCTGGAACCGCATGAGGAGTTTGAGAAGCTTCCAGGAACCAGGGAGAGCGAGCATGAGGGTGGACGAAGAGGAAGAGGAAGAGGACAGGGAAGAGGAAGAGAAGGAGGCAGAGGAGAAGGCAGTGGAGGAGGAGCAGGAGGAAAAACCGTGGAAAGGAGGGGTGTTGGAGGTTTGGAGAGGATTGAAGGTAGTTTGGCCGGAGAGGGAGGGAGAGCAAGGGGGATGAGCATACAGGAGCTTGAGGCAGAGGCTGGGAGGACAGACGCTTGGCCTAATGGTTTTAAGAGAAGTTTTTGGCTAAGTGGGAGTACAATCAGGCAAAGTGGGAACCCCAGGAAGCAGCAGCGGTTGCTTCCCAGCGAGGATGAGGTGAGGGAGGCTGCAACTGATTGGCCAACGCTTGGGGCCACTTTGAGACGAGCTCTTGGGGTGGACGGGAGTGGGGGGAGCGACAGAGGGGAGCGGAGGGCAGGGATATCGCAAACAAGAGCAGCGGTAGCAGGAGCAGCTCCGGCAGGAGCAGCGGCAGCAGGAGCAGCGCCGGCACATGGTTGGAGTTTTGGTGAAGAGCAGGGAGAATCTGAAGAAGCAGCAGGTTTGGCAGAGGATGAGGAAGGGATGGTGCAGCAGGAGCAGCAGTCTGAAGCCCGAGAGGACCAGCAGGAGCAGCACCAGCAGCCGCAGCAGGATTTTCAGCTGTTAGCTACCAGCAAAGTGCCAGGTAGTGGAAGGCTTTGGAGGCGAGGGGGGTTAAGTGCTGGTCCCAAGGCAGAACATGAGTGCAGATTCTGCGGCAAGGGATTTGATTCTCATCGGGCGCTTGGAGGGCACATGAATCTCCACAGGAAAGGTGAGACATGCTGTGTTTGCATGCGCGTGCACTAGTGTGAATCTATGTGTGTGCGTGTACGTGTGCGTGTGTGTGTGTGTGTGCGCGCGCGTGCGCTCGCGCGAGCATCACCAAAGCTCCTTCAACCTTCTGCCACTTCTTGTCAGTACCACTCCTCCACTTCCCTTTCCTCCTTCACAAACCTTGTCATCCCTTTCCGCTGATGCACCCGTTTCGCAGTGGCCTTGCCTTTTGCAATCGAGGTGGGCGTTGTGGCGACCTGAGAGAACTAACATGCACCAGACAGAACTAACATGCACCAGACAGAACTAACATGCAGCAGACAGAACTAACATGCACCAGACAGAACTAACATGCAGCAGACAGAACTAACATGCAGCAGACAGAACTAACATGCAGCAGACAGAACTAACATGCAGCAGACAGAACTAACATGCAGCAGACAGAACTAACATGCAGCAGACAGAACTAACATGCAGCAGACAGAACTAACATGCAGCAGACAGAACTAACATGCAGCAGACAGAACTAACATGCAGCAGACAGAACTAACATGCAGCAGACAGAACTAACATGCAGCAGACAGAACTAACATGCAGCAGACAGAACTAACATGCAGCAGACAGAACTAACATGCACCAGACAGAACTAACATGTACCAGACAGAATTAACATGCACCAGACAGAACTAACATGCACCAGACAGAACTAACATGCAGCAGACAGATCTAACATGCACCAGACAGAACTAACATGCACCAGACAGAACTAACATGCACCAGACAGATCTAACATGCACCAGACAGAACTAACATGCAGCAGACAGATCTAACATGCACCAGACAGAACTAACATGCACCAGACAGAACTAACATGCAGCAGACAGAACTAACATGCACCAGAACTTAGTGAAGGGTTTTAAGGTTTCTAACAGAACTAACAGTTGCAGCAGTGGTGCCTGCTTATGCACACTTATTGCACCCAGCCAGTCCATTCATTGCACTCTTTATACTCATTTTACCCATTCTACTCATTGCACTCATTGCACTCAATACACCCATTGTGCTTGTTGCAATTGCCAGAGCGCAAGATAGAAGACGCGTTTCTGAGCAAGGCCGAGGCTCAAGCCCGGGCTGATTTACAGCTGCGCCAGCAGCAGAGGCTACAGCTGCTTTTGCAGCAGCAGCGGCAGCAGGAGGAGGAGCAGCAGCAGCAGGAGCAGCAGCAGCAACAAGTTTTGCAGTTGCACCAACAGGAGCTTCAACAAGAGGAACAATACCAGCAGCAGTGGCTGCTGCAACAGCCTCAGCAGCCGCCAGTCCAAAGTGAACAAAGCACCAAAGAAAATTACCAGCAGCAACTGGAGGACCTGCTTCAACAGCAGCAGCCACAGCAGCAACAGCAGCAGCTCATGCCTGGGGCACACCGTTTCTCACGTGGCGTGTCCCACAGCGCTGCAAGCAGAGCCTCTGCTGTCGGTGCTCCGGCTGCCATGGGTGCATCTGCTGCCATGGGTGCATCTGCTGCCATGGGTCCATCTGCTGCCACCGATGCCATGGTTCAAGGAGTGTGGCCAGAAGAGCAGATGCAGATAGATCCACAAAGCACTTGGCTGTATCAAATGCAGCAACAGCAGCAACAGCATCAATTGCAGCAGCAACAGCAGCGGCAGGAGAACCAGCGTCAAGAGCAGCTGCAGCTGCTGCAGCGTCATCGCCAGCAGCATCGGCTGCTGCAGTGCCTGCAGCAGCAAGAGGAGCAGCAGTTGTGGTGGCAGCAGCAGCAAGAAGAGCAGCAGGAGCAGCACCAACAACATGGGTTTCGACAGATTAATCCGCAGCAGCAGCAGCAACAGCAGCAGCCGCCGCAGGGGCACAAGCAATCAGGATTCACCCAGCCCAGGCCACCCGAGGCAGTTCCTGGCAGGCCTCAGAAAGGCGTGCCTTCATCTCTTCCCCACACTCTCACATCCCTGCCTCCCCACACTCCCACATGGCAGCCCACCCAGACACCCTTGCAGCCGTCCACCCACTCCAGCCCATTCTCACCACACCATCCGCTGCGCCCTCGTCCCTCCCCAGACCCCTTCCTCTCCACCCTCTCCCCTGAACTCCTCCAATCTCTCGTCCTCCACTCGTGGCCCCCAGGAGCAGCATCTGGTAACCATATAACACCTCGTGCGGTTACCACCGCGTCCTCCTTCGCACCTACCCATCCTGCTTCTGTTCCGCCGTCCCTTTCACCGTTACCTGTGGTTGCAGTACCTCCAGTGACTGATCCCTCTCAGCAGCACCAGTCCCAAAATTCACCAGTAGGCGTTCCTCAGCTGCTAGCAAAGCCACCTGCCTTGTTGGCATCATGGGTTACATCTGATGTACGCCCACTTGGCGTTACATCTGGACGGCCAGCGTCAGCTCCACCTGTAGCAGGAGCAGGAGAGGAACAGCACAGTGCTGTGGCAGGGTTGGAGTCGAAGGAGCAGCAGCAGCAGCAGCAGCCAATGGAAATATCAGGGGAAGTGACAGGGCAAGGGGATTTTCTGCGAGGAGAGTCAGGGGCCGGTTCAGAGTTGGTGCTTTGGATCGGTGGGGATAATGTGCCATGGCTGCGACCACATGGGCGTCAGCCGCAGCAGCAGCAGCAGCAACAACAGCTGGAGCAGCAGCAACAGCAGCAGCCGCAGCAGCAGCAGCAGCAGCAGCAACAACAACAGCTGGAGCAGCAGCAACAGCAGCAGCAGCAGCAACAGCTAGAGCAGCAGCAACAGCAGCAGCCACAGCAGCAGCAGCAACAGCAGCAGCAGCAACAGCAACAGAAGCAGCAGCAACAGCAGCAGCAGCAACAACAGCAGCTGCAACAGCAGCAACAGCAACAGCAGCAACAGCAACAGCAACAGAAGCAACAGCAACAGGAGGACGAGTTCTTTAGTCAGCTGTTGGCGTTGGCAGAGCAGCAAGCACAGGCGGGCATGGGTGGAACGTTGAGGCAACAGGGGCAGGAGCAGCAGGGGGAGAGCCGTCCAGGAGAAGCGTGTGTGGGGCCACAGCATGATGTCCAGGAGGTAGTGCGAGGAGTGGGAGGAGTGGGTGGGGGAGAGGGGGCGTTGCATGGTCTCAGTGCCTTGGATTGGCCATCTGCAGCTTCGTATCTCCATGGCTTGAGTATGCCTGCTGTGACTATGCCTGCTGTGACTATGCCTGCTCTGACTATCCCTGGTGTGACTATTCCTGCTGTGACTATGCCTGAACTTTCTCCGACCCTTCCTTACCTGACCTCTGGGCCTCTTGCCTCTGCACTTGCTTCTGCCCTTGCTGGGGTTACGCCTTCCCCGGTTTCGTCTCCACTGATTACGCCTTCACTGGTCACGCCTTCACTGGCCGCGCCTCCACTGGTTACGCCTCCAGTGGTTACGTCTCCACTGGTTACGCCTTCACTGGTCATGCCTCCAATGGTTACGCCTCCAGTGGTTAGGCCTTCACTGGTTACGCCTCCACTGGCTACGCCTTCCCTGCTTACGCCTTCACTGCTTAGACCTCCACCGGTTGCTGGGTCTGCCGTTACAACTCCTGCTGCCACTGCTCGCCTGCTTACTCCACAGTACGGTTCTTCAGCTGCTGGTGGCGTTACATCTCATGGTCCTTCAGGTGCTGCCGTTACATCTCCTGGACTCCATACGCACATGGAGTCAATTCTACCTGCCTCCATCCCACCATGCCAGCAGCACTCGTTCTCCTCTTTGCAGACACCTTCTATGTTCTCCCAGCCCAACTTGGTGCAGCAGCAGCAAGCGCCATGGACCACTGGGTTCGCCTTTGGCCAGCAGCAAGCGCCATGGACCATTGGGTTCGCCTTTGGCCAGCAGCAGCCGTTGGCTTCCCAGCCTGTGTTTCACCAGCAGCAGCAACTGTTGGCCTCTCAGCCTGCCTTAGACCAGCAGCAGCAGCAGACTGCTCAGCCTGTGTTTCACCACCACGATCAGCAAATGACTTTTCAACCGGCCATGTGCCTGCAGCAGCAGAAGCAGCAGCAGCAACTGTTGGCCTCTCAGCCTGCCTTGCTCCAGCAGCAGCAGCCATTGACTTCTCAGCCTGCCTTGAGCCGCCAGCAGGAGGCTGGCGCTCTGCCAGGGCGGCCATTGCAAGGGGAGCGGGCAGGAGGGAGCAAGGAGGACAAGCTGGCACAGTTGGAACAGCTTCGCCAGTTGCTGCTCTTACAGGAGCAGCTTATAGGGGAACAACCAGGCGGAGAGGGGCTTCAGTTGAGGCGGCAGGGGTTGGAGGGGTTGAAAGGTGCAGAGTGGTGTGGTGATTTGAACCACCAGGTGGAGACGAAGGGGGGAGTGGCTGCAGAAAACGAGAGGCAGTGCCGCTCAGAGGAATAGGGGAAAGATGAAACAGATGTGTAGGCTGGGATGGAGAAATGGTGGGATGTCTGGATAAGACACCTGGATCTTGTTGCTTGTACTACACATGGAAATGGGAGTAAGAGAAGGAATACATAACAAATGTTAGGGAATGAAGCCTTTTCTACTATACACTAAAATAAATGTTCTACCTGGATGCTAGGATGCCATTGGGGTTTGTAAACACGCAGCAGGTGTTTCATTTTCCATGAAATGCTTGTGTTCATCAAGTAGTTTAGTGAATCTTGAAATTCTCAAGTTTTTTTAGGCTCCATTTTTCTTAGGAGATACGGCAGCATTTCATTCAAATTACATACAGATGAATGCCAACAATTATTATTGTATGGAAAATTCCTTTTCCTTACTTCGCGTCCTTACTCAGCGCGTACACCACTGTTTCCCGCCAACAGCACCCAACAATAATCCGTTACCACTCGCGACATTCGCCTCGTCACTATTCCCGCCACTGTTCACGACGCGACCCAACCTCACGGCTCGGTTGGTAACCTGCGCTCCGGACCTCCGCCTCGACAATTCCCAACCTCGGCACTAGGCCCGTCTCGCACCCCATTTTCCACGTTACCGTTACCACTGTAGCTTCGCTATATATTCTTCGCTCAATCCTTCGCTCATTGTATTCTTGTCTCGATAGTGCAATCCTCACTCGCGCACTCACTTGCACTCGTAACACTTGGTTATCAGAGCCTACGATCTTCTCTCGGACCGCACCCACACCTTCGCTTCCCCACTATCTCTATTTTTGGGAGGGGGGGACGTCTCTCAGCGACCAAGCACCGCCGCTCGTAGTGCTCTCTCGTAAGCACGCACGGCCACGACAGAGGCTCTCGCTGAGCTTGCCCGACACCCCCGCCATGGCCGAAATTAATATTGCGACACTGACGCAAGAGCAGCTCGACCGTCTCGTGCGCCAACTCGAAGATTCGGCCCTCGAAATCGCTATGCTCACGGCGGAACGCGATTCCGCTCGCCAGCAATCAACCGCGAACGCACCAGCACCAACAAATGCACCTGCACAATCGGAGGAGCCGATCACCGTCTCATCAGGCACACCGACACAGAACAACAGTGTGGGACAACGCTCAGGCGTAGCCAGTGATGGCGCCACTCACTCAATGTCTGGTATGGAGAGAATTAGGGCCACACCAAGCCCACGTGAGCCTCGTGAAGCTCGTCGGCACGTGGAATTTGCAGCAACAAGCGGCAACCACGACATCATGGCACCAATGCCACTCACGCCCTGTTTCGATCCAAGCCAACATGTAGATCCGACGGTTCAATCGTGGGTCTTCACGATGAATGTCTTTTTCTACGTGAATTACGTCGAGTCGGACGCAGCGAAGATTCGCTACGCCGTTTCGCTGCTGAGGGGCCCCGCCATGGACTGTTGGCAAGTCATCGTGACGTCGCCACGTGCCTACGAGCCACCATCGCAAGAGGAAGGGCCCACAGGCCTAGCCGTCACCTGGAGTTCATTTTGCAAGACAGCCCAGTACAGCACGTGGGATGCGTGGTGCGCAGGGCTTCGGGCGCGTTTCGAGCCGATCGCGGATTCTATTTCGGCGCGTCAGAGACTTCGTACTTGGCGGCAGCTCGGATCGGTTCAAGACTACACGAGTGGTTTTCTCGCATTATGCGAGCAAGTTAGCTATATGCACGAAGCGAGGCGGGTGGACCGTTACGTCGGAGGGCTGAATCCAGACATCTCGCACGAAATCATGCTATGCGGGCTCTCGAATTTTAATGAGATCCTCGCGCTTGCCGAGAAAATCGACATTCTGCGCCGTCCGAGACCGAGGTCCTACTACGGACACGTCCTCGGGGACCAATCGAGCACGCCACCGTACACGCCGTTGCGACGAATGCAGCTACCGCAACGTTTAAGGGGCGCTGCTTTGCTTGCAATCGGCCGGGCCATCGCAAGAGTGATTGCCCAAAGGAGCTGAGGCGCCGGGGAACAGAGCAGGGGCGGGAGTCTCAGAGGCAGGGAAACGCCAGCAAACAGTAGAATTTGGGCCAACTACTGACGAGACTGCCTACTCGCCCAACCTCACCGACCCTCACCGAGTCACAATACCGATTCACGCTATCCATCGGGCTCGGATGAATAAGGTGTCAGAATATTATGCTCTAGCCTGTAGTGGGGTGCTCTATAGCGAGTACAACCCTTCTAGGGTTTGCTATTTGTATCCTCATTCTTGCTAGTGCAACCTCCTCTTTTGCCTAAACTTCTCTTGCCTAGCTAGGACTTACCTAGCTATGGCGCCTTCTTCTACTGCTTATCTTCACATGGTATTAGAGCGATATGCTCCTGGCCTGTGGGCCCCACCTCACTGCTTCCGCTGCTACTGCTACTCCCTGTCCGCCGCGCGCCCCGTGGTGCGCGGCGTCGAAATTAGGGTTTTTCAGCCCGCCGTGCGCCCCGAGGCGCGCGGCGGTTTTCTGCCCGCCGTGCGCCCCGAGGCGCGCGGCGGTTTTCTGCCCGCCGTGCGCCCCGAGGCGCGCGACGGGTTTCTGCCCCGTCACTCGGCGCGTCGCCCCCAGGAGGCGCTACGACGGGCGACGGGGACCCGCGCGTCGCCCCCCGTCGCCCGTCGTGGCCTGCGCGCGGCCCGTACGGGCTGCGCCAGGCCCACGCGCGGCCCGTACGGGCTGCGCCAGGCCCGCGCGCGGCCCGTACGGGCTGCGCCAGGCCCGCGCGCGGCCCGTACGGACTGCGCCAGGCCCGCGCGCGGCTGGGGCCGCCTGCGCGCGGTTCGGGAGGCTGTGCCAGGCCCGTGGGCGGCCCTTTCCTCGCTGCCCCTGCCCTCCCCGCTGTCCCCCGTGCTTCTACTGGCGCCCCACCCCTCCTACAGCCCGTTCTCCTGAATTAGGGTTTGGGGGTGAGGGGTATGGGGGTGAAGCTACAGTGTGCCGTTCCCTGCTCCTCCTCCTCCTCCGTCTCCCTGTGCTGCAGCTGCCGCTGAGGGGGGGTGGACTTGTTGGAGCCGTTGGAGTGGTACTAAGGGGGGGTGAAGGGGGAGTGGAGCTAGCGGTGTAGCAGCGGGTGTGTGTCAGGGGGAGTGGGATAGTTTGGGGAGGTTGAAGGGGGTGGCCGCCGTGAAGCCAGCAGCTCCAGTCGCCCGTGAGACCGTTGCGCCAGTCGCCCGTGAGCCCGTTGCGCCAGTCGCCCGTGAGCCCGTTGCTCCAGTCGCCCGTGAGTCCGTTGCTCGTCTGCCGCTACTTTTAGCCGCGGAGCCAGTTACTCCAGTAGCCCGTGTGCCAGTTGCTCCAGTTGCCAGTGTGCCAGTTGCTCTAGTTGCCCGTGTGCCAGTTGCTCCAGTTGCGCCGTGTGCCAGCAGCTTCAGCTGCCGCCCACTACCTCCTCTCCTCTCATAGTCTCTTTCCTCCTCCTCACTTGCCCGTTGTGACTACCACTAGCTTTGCTCATAATTGTGAACTTTAAACTATTGCTTCTTGAACTTGTGCTCAGAATGTGTGGTGACATTGTGATCCACCCTGAGCTTGTACTGCTTTGCTTGCTCTGCTGATTACACCCCACTTTGGCTATGGGGGTGTGTCAGAATATTATGCTCTAGCCTGTAGTGGGGTGCTCTATAGCGAGTACAACCCTTCTAGGGTTTGCTATTTGTATCCTCATTCTTGCTAGTGCAACCTCCTCTTTTGCCTAAACTTCTCTTGCCTAGCTAGGACTTACCTAGCTATGGCGCCTTCTTCTACTGCTTATCTTCACATAAGGAGGGTACAACGACGGATTGCCCAGTACTGATCTACGGGAAAATACAGGGAGCAGCAGTGAAGATGTTCATAGACGGAGGCGCAAGTCACAGCTTAGTTAATACCGCGACTGCACGGAAACTGCAACTGGCACTTAGTCGGTGTTTACTGGAGATACATGCACGCTTTGTTGATGGGATGACGCTGGCCATACAGGATAAGGTGGAAAGAGTAAAAGTCTGCTGCAGGGGAAACTTCGGGTTTACAAAAAATGCTCGCGACGACATTGGATGGGCATGACATTTTACTGGGACGTGATTGGCTGCGACGGTACAACCCGCGAATCGAATGGACAACGGGTAGCTGCACTGTGCGAAGTAGTGGTAATTGGGTTGAACTACCTCGCTGGCAGTCGCCTGGGTCTTCAACGGTCCACGTCAACGCCATCACAATGAAACGGGTTGTCGCCGCTTGAGCTGACGTGTACGCGGTGGATATCGCAGTAGTGGAAGAAGCAGAGCAGCCGAGCGATTTTCAGAAACTGCTGACGGTAGTACCACCCGAACTACAGGAACTGTTGAAACGGTACCCGTGGATTTTTCCTGACGACTTACCGGAGGGACTGCCACCTCAGCGGGCACACGCTCATCGAATAGAGTTAGAACCCGGGGCACAACCAACCGTACAGCGACAGTTCAGATTGACACAGCCCGAGCTCGACGAACTGAGGAAGCAGTTAGATTACCTGTTAGAGAAAAAATTGTCAGAAGAATGAACGAGAATGAATGAACTAGCAAAGAGTTGGGTACAAGTACTAACCCTAATTGGGTTGTACCCATTATGGGCTACCCCACTATAGCCTACACAAATATAAGCACTATAATATTCTGACACACCCCCATAGGCAAAGTGGGGGAGAACAAGTGGTCACAAGTGTCAAACATATACGCTTAGTTGTATCTAGGCTTAGTTTATGTGTTTACAGTTGTCTAGGCTATAGTGGGTTTAGCCTTAGGGGGTACACAATTTCTCTCGACATTGTACTTGTACCCCTCCCCCTTTCCTAGTCATTCATTCTCGTCATTCTCGCTAGTATTCTAACATGGTATTAGAGTAGGCTACTCTTGGGCCCACCACCTACTATTTTGTTCCTAGCCCCGCGCCCCGCCCGTACCGCGCCCACGATAGGCCCGTACCTAGCCTGCGCCCGGCCCAGTCTCCTGCCCGCGCCTGGCCCGTACCTA